TATAATAGTGAGTGGTCGTCGACACCCTTCAGTTAGATGGATCTAACTGGCGAAACCACACGACATTGATTTCGAGTTATCAGAAGAAAAAACAAAAAACAAAAAAGAAGAAACAACGTGAGGAGCTGTTTTCTTTTCTAAGCAACGTGGATGGCCACCAGGTCACATAGGTAAGTTGGTGGCAAAAAAAGTTTTGAAACATTATTTTCGGAATAAATTCGAAAGTTATAATATTTTAAAATTAAGTTTTAAAATTAGTAATATTACAAAAATGTCACATGATATATAGACGAAGTTTCAAAGTTGTGTTTTATGTAATGAGACGTTTTTAAATCTTTCAAAGGAGAAGGGAGGATGTAACAATACACATTTGGAATCATGTTACCAACATGTTAGAGTTATATTTTATCATTCTTAAAAAAAAAAATTATCAAATTAGAAAATATATATTACAATTAAACAAAAATAATTATTTTTAAAAGTTGAATGAATATAATAGATATATTCAAAGTTGTTAAATTATAGGTTTAACCTTATACTTTGAAGGTTGTGTTTATTTAGTCCTATTTACCCTTTAAAATTTTCAAAATATATCCCTAAATTTTTAAAATCGTGTGTATTTGACCTTTCTACTTGAAAAAAATTCTAACAAGTTTTTAAATTTTTTATTTTGTCTTTAATAGATGAGTGTGCTTAGTCCATTTCTTTTTTTTAATACAATATGTTGGGTAAGGGATCGAACTTACATAGTTGGAGATATATGTCAATTACCGCCGAGCTATGCTGGAGTGTGTTCAATCCGTTAGTTAAATGCTTATGTCATAAAATGACTAAACACTACCTCCTAAAATAATAAAGTCATCAATTTAAAAAAGTTTAAAGACCCAACATTTGTATGGAACAATATTTAGGTGTTAACGATCAACCCTCATCTTCTAGCTAACCACCACTAAATATTTGACAACTTTTTATTTTTAAAAAATATATATATATATATAATATTTTCCTTTCTACATTCATCTCTCTTAGTACTTGTCAAAAGTTTAATGGTGATTAAGAAAGAGATGGATGTTGAGTGCTACTGGTCGGTGCCTAAATAGTGTTTTTTTTATGGCTATGATAAATTATCATGATAATAAACACAAACCTAAAAGTGAAGAACCAAACTTTTGATTTCTTTTGTAATATAATATATCACGTAGGTCATTAGTATATCATAATTTTTATAATCTAAATTGTTTTTTTTTTTTTGAAAAAAAGGTACCATTTCATTAAAAAAAATGTGAGAAACATATTAAAAAAAGAGATGCCTGGAGGAAAGCATTCCAATTGAGAGAAATGGTAGCTATATTGAACGGGGGCGGGTTCCCCGCGGTGCCCGCCTTCGACCCCAATTACAATAATTGGAGCAATTTTTTAAATTTTAAAAGTAAACATTTTTTTTTATGCAATATAAGAAGAAATGTCCGACGAGGTGCTTGAAAAAGAAGAACTTAAAAGAAGGTTGAAACAGTTGAGAGAAAGTCGAGAGATATGAGAAGGTTTGGATTTTTTGAAACTTTGGTGATCTTATGGATGGATGGACTGGGTGTGCAGTGCGGTCCGCTGGGACTGTTGGTAGAGAAGAGAGGTTAAAAGAAATCTAAATTTTAAATTAGGGTTCGGAAGAAAATAACGAAATTTGGGTTTCGGCCTTTTCAAACTGGAAAAAGTATATTTAAAAGTAAATATATTATTAATATTATTATAAATAAAAATAATTATTAATTATTAAAATATTAAACGTGGCAGGGTTGGGGACGGAGACGAGGCGGGAATGCCCTTCCCCGTCCCGCCACGGATCCCTGAATAAATTTTCCGATTTGACCTTGTACCAGATCAATTACCAAGGATTCTCTCCCTCGATTGGATCGGGTAACCACGGGATCGAGTCCATGAGACTTTTTTGCCATCCTATGCTCCTTAATGGTTTTGGATCGCTCTTGGTCCATGGGGCTTTTTCTTTTTTTTTTTTTTTTGTCTTACATAAGTAAATTTGAGCTCGGTTGACTTTAGACCACATGGTTACATAGGATACAATCTCATTAGCTAGCATTATGACAGAGAAATCACATTAATTATGCTAATTTTATGTGTATTAATTTAATTTTTGACTCACGTGTTAATTTGTAATTGGTCTAAAAAAATAATAATATGTAATTTCATCATTAGTTTAAAATAATCACGTGACAATTTAATTTGTGATTGACCAAAATTTTATTATTTTACAACATTATGAAAAGGCATGAGTTGTATTTGAAAACAAAAATCTAAGACAGTTGTAACATTTTTTTGGAAGATATATTAAATTAATGTCATCTACCGAAATTTCTGTTAAATTATTCTTTAATTCACATATTTAAATTTGAGAATATACAAGTTGGATTTTATATGTTAAATAATATTTGAGTGACATGTCAATATGTAATAAAAAATTTAAGTTTAATATTTAATTGCAAATTAAGCAAACATAGATTAGCAGTTTGGAATATGTCTCCAACTAAAGGCTTGAGTTTGATCCTCACCCTAAACTTTTGTTATTAATTTTTCTAAAATGTTTAGCAAATTTGAAAATTTGAAAATGTTTAGAAAATTATGGACCTGACTCCCAACTACTAATAGAGTTTAATATAATAGGATTTAACTAAATCAGCTTAACTAACATGATCATAGTTCAATTGATTAAATCATTTATCTCCATCTAAAAGAACTATTAAATTGAAAGTGGAAACAATAGGACTATAATATAACTAATCTACTTCAAGAGCAATCATTCTATTTCAATAAGAACCCTTCCAAAACTATTTCCAAACATACTTTTAATTATCTCTTTTGTTCAAACAAAACTAATTTCGAAAATAAAGGCCTCTCGGGAGAATAATTTTATGGTCCATT